ACCGATACGTTTGGAACAAAGCATGTGAGAGCTTTTAGGTTCCATTGTCTCTTCCTACAATAGTAGCCGTGGCCGCAGTGTAGGATGAAAAGTTTGGTATACGCCGCCCAACATTACATGCTAACAGATAACCGATACTGGTTTGTCTTGAAAGTAGCAGATTTATAAGATTGCAAGTAGTTTGTTGCCACAGAACTAGTGTTGACTTAAACGATATTTGCGTGTGCAAAGTCATATCTGTTGCAACTACTGCTTTCATCGACGAACTGCAATTCCAGTGTCGGACTGTTTGTTTTGGCACTTCACACGACCGCGTTTTGCGTCTGCGTGCTATTGGTCTTGGGGAGACTGATGGCTTTTTAAATGTCTTCACAAGGGGCGCCCATGGTCTTCCTGTGGTATTCGCACTAAGTGTCACACTGGGCTCCCAGTCTATTGCTCTGCTCTACCCTCTGCAATCAATTCAATATTATGGATGGAATCAGCCCAGCATCTTTGGCCTCCCTCATCAATGATCGTTTTCTGGTTTACTTTCGGCGCCATGGCCTCCTCAGTCCCGTTACTTTCTGAGTGTCTCTTTGGTGACTTCTTGCTCGTCTCTTCTCAGGATGTGTACAATGTAGCGCCATCTCTTATGTCTTACAACTATCTAGTATCCAAGAAAGGTGGCTGGATACCCACACCAGATTTTCTCCCCAAGACTCACTTCATCGCCTCTCTAGAGAGGGACATTGCATTATATTCAGACTAAGGACTGGGCACAACAGATTTCGTCAACATATGTTCAACATTTTCGGTGTAGGAAATACCGAGACGTGTCCCTGCAGCCTGGCACCCGAAAATGCTGAGCATGTGCTCCAACACTGTCAACTGTATGCTGACAACAGAGACGCAATCTGGCCTGTTCCAACCACAAGGAAGAAAAAAAAAAAAAAACTGTATGGTACACGAGAGGATATGGATTGCACGATAGCTATCAAAAAGGCTACCGGCCTCCTGATATAAGTTTTCTGACAGAAGGATCGAAGAAGAAGAAGACAACTGTTGATTCTAGTGGTTGCCCAGCCATCTTCTGTCTTACAACTGTTGATTCTAGTGGTTGCCCAGCCATCTTCTGTCTTACAACTGTTGATTCTAGTGGTTGCCCAGCCATCTTCTGTCTTATAACTGTTGATTCTAGTGGTTGCCCAGCCATCCTCTCTGTCTTACAACTGTTGATTCTAGTGGTTGCCCAGCCATCCTCCCTGTCTTACAACTGTTGATTCTAGTGGTTGCCCAGCCATCTTCTCTGTCCTACAACTGTTGATTCTAGTGGTTGCCCAGCCATCTTCTCTGTCTTACAACTGTTGATTCTAGTGGTTGCCCAGCCATCTTCTCTGTCTTACAACTGTTGATTCTAGTGGTTGCCCAGCCATCTTCTCTGTCTTACAACTGTTGATTCTAGTGGTTGCCCAGCCATCCTCCCTGTCTTACAACTGTTGATTCTAGTGGTTGCCCAGCCATCCTCTCTGTCTTACAACTGTTGATTCTAGTGGTTGCCCAGCCATCTTCTCTGTCTTACAACTGTTGATTCTAGTGGTTGCCCAGCCATCCTCTCTGTCTTACAACTGTTGATTCTAGTGGTTGCTCAGCCTCGTCACTGATTTCTTCAACCCTCTTGAAAACATCAAAATTTTTTTATTTAACATTCATTCCTTGTGTGTTGCGGTTCTCTGGCATATGTTAAAACTGAAATAACATAAGAATTGAAAACATGCAACTTGGTTTTAAAACTATACAATTTAAAAAGAAGTCGAATAGGAATAGAAATATGAAAAGGGCAAGAAGAGAAAGAAGAGGAGAAGGGGGAAGAAGAAGCAATAACATCATCCCATATTGTTCCTACAGACAGTGAAGGGTTATTGCAGTTGATTATTCTACACTGTCATGTTTTCAGCACAAGTTATGCACGGACAGACCATCTCTTGTTATCTTCACATCTCAACTTCGAACTGCCAACTCGCCTGCCTCCGTCCCTTGTCTGGGTATAGAATGCTGCGGTTTTATGTGCACGCAGTCAAAATATTGAACTAATTTTTCTTTAATATGTATTTCCTCTTCCTAAATATCTTTAATTATCAGCATATCCTCTGTAGGTCCCGCGTCATCGTGGAGGGGAAAAAAGGGGGGGGGGGGAGTACTCGCTGCCCCTTACAAGCATGTCGTAAGAGGCTATGACACAAGTTTTCGTGCATCAGATTTGCTAGGCCAAAAAGCGCAGATATCACAGCCTAGTTGTAAACGGCAACATAACGTGCCAACACCCTTTGAAGCGAACGCAGAAATCAGTCTATATAGATAGAATATGTATGTATTCTATTAGTTTTCACTACAACTCTTTGTATAGTTACTTTATTCCCGATTAAGGATATCTGCAATATCTAAAATTATCTTTTCCCAGTAAAATTTATTGCACGTGAGGTAATAACTTGTGCAGTTGTGACACCATAACAGTTAATTTTAGTGAGGTAAACAAAATACCAACAACAACAGTAAATGAAAGAATGCGATTCCATGAAAGCCCAGAACCAAGACCCCATTTTAATCGTTATCTCCAACCGCATCGAAGCGGTTCTGAGCGGAAACTGTCATCCCGCATGTGCCTGACCGCGCGGGGTTTCTTTCAGTTTAAACATAAAAGCAGAATAGAAGTGTATACTTGTACCCAAATTTTACAGCAGTGCTTAATTTAAAGTTACATTCAGCAGACATTTTAGTTTACAGACATCGTGTTCTATAAAATAAAATGTGTAAATGCGAAAGCAAAGGATGCTAGCTCAACATAATTAGCATGCGTCAGTGGCACACTTGCCAGATTGGCTCAAAATGTGCTAACAATTTTTTCCGAAAATGTAAAAGCTAACAGTTGTGTCGTTCTTTCTGGAAAATTGTTGAAATACGGCTTCAGTAAGCGAAAGGACAGATTTAAACTGTATAATGCTCACATTACAAAAATATAATAACTTGTACAAACAGTAACATAATGCTAACACTATCATGTATATTAGTGATATCTTGATTATCTTTACGAGTCATAATTGGGGGAATGAACGTATTTTTCTTTCTTCAGATAATTGATAATTATGTGTCCCAAATATATTTTTAACATCTCATGTAGGTTTTTCATCTTTTTTCTTCATCATCTTCTTCTTCTTCCTATTCGTATTTTGTGTCCAGTGTGTTACAAGGCTCTGCTTCCTGCTCTTCTGATTGCCTCGATAACATCAGTGAAACTATTGAAGCCAGCATCTCTGTAAATATGTCCTTTACCCCCTTTTCCCCTGTGTATTTTCCCTATGTAAGCCAATTTAATAATCCACTTCTTCTATTGATCTGTCTCACATATTTGCTTTGTATTTTCCTGCTTTTTTTTTATAAGCAACAAAGCGACGCTTGCAAAAGTCAGTCTTTCGAGTTGGTTTTCTTCTTTTGTCAAAATTTTCGAATATTCCTTGGTAAAATCATGTATGAACTGCATGTATACAGCATTAGATAATTGAAATGTCGGCTCAGAAAAAATATTTCCATTGTCTGAAAATGGAGCGGGGTAATAAACAATTTATTTTACAATTATAGCACAGAAGATACTTTTAGTAAACATTTCATATTGCTACTACTACTTATATTACCTCTAAGACGACATCTGTTAACATCACCACCACTACTACTGCTACCACCACTAAAACCACCAACTCTGCTACTATTACTTTATTACTACCACCACCACAGCAACTACTATTAATCTATAACCACCACCACAACTACTCATATTCTTATGCAGCACCACAAACACTAACCTATTGCTACTACGACCACCACTAGTTCTGCAATTACAACTACTATTACATTACTGCTACTACCGCCACGACAGTTCTACTACTAGTGCTGCTAGTACTACTACTACCACCACCTACCCCATTGAGACTACCACTGCTACTACTACTGCTACTACTGTTACTATTACTACTACTACTACTACTACCCCCATCGTGACTACTGCATCATAACTACAACCAACACCACTACTAGTGTTACAACTTTTATTTGCTACTGCTACTACCACCACTACTTGTGTTACAGCTACAATTGCTACCACCACCACTACTTTGGTTTATTCAACGAATCATCGTCATGGCACACGGGTGTAACCTATAAGTGCTATGTTCTTCTTCTAACCGAAGCCTGAGTTTGAAGCAGCTCAGCACAGTGCATCGGCAAGGAACCTGAAATACTTTGGGTAGATTTTTTACTCCAAATTTAGCCAGGACAGCGCCTTTATGCTACTCGTTTAGATTTCCAACTGCCAAGCGAGTCTCACTAAAACGTTGCAACGGGTATTGAGCGAGTGGAAGACCTCGGAAAAGAATGGAGTGATGGCATTAAGAAAAGCCTTACAGAAATGAACATAAGTTTTAATAGTGCTCTTGACAGAGCTCATCAATGAATGCTACATCCCTAACTCCCTGACACTTCACTGAGGTACAAGAGAAGAAGATGGGATTTGTTACGTGTGCAATACTATACACCACTACTACTAGTACTGCTGCTACCACCACCATTACAAGTGTTACAGCCATTACTGCTACCGCTACTACCACCACCACTACAAGTGTTACAGCCACTACTGCTACCACTACTACTAGTACTGCGTGCTACTACCACTACTACAATTTTACAACCACTACTGCTACCACCACCACCACTACTACTAGTACTGCTGCTACTACAACCACGACAACGGCCATAGATGAAAAATAGGCTTGTCTACTATCAAATAATAATTTGGCTTGTTTTGCGTGAACCTAAATGAATATTTGGCCGCTTGTCGGTGAACATCCTGGCCTTCTTGTCGAGCGTTGAGAATCGAGCGCCGGGTCTGCGAGATAGTCTGCAACTTAGAACAACGTGTTCTCTTAGCCAGTTTAAACTCTATCAGTGTAACATTTACATACTCTTATAACATGTCTTATAGTAGCGGATATGGCCGTGGTCAAGATGATGCTGGCGGCAGTTCAACATCAATGAAGGTCGATTCATCATGCGTTGGAAAAATTATCGGCAAGTCTTGTTGTTTCTGTCCACAGGTCGGCGGTCATGGCGGCACGGGCAAGCTGGCGTGGCTTCCGGTTGTTTGTGCAACCAGCCTGCTTTTTATTCATTTTTCAGGGGAAAATGAACGTCATAAGCAGGGTTGATTATTGTTGTTCCAAAGCCGCAACAAAGTAAGTTGTAGTTTGAGGTGATTAACAAGATTTACCCGCCACAGTATGAATCTGGTGGTTAGCTGTGATTTGAGCGGGGTGGGGGGCACATGGCCTCGTTGTCCTCATTTTTTTCCCACCCATATCTACGCATTTATCTAGATCCTGTTTCTGATTTCAGACCGTTACATTTATTTTTGTATTGTTTAATACTGATAATTCCATGTTTAGCTAAGGAATGTAACATAAGCTGGTCATTTCTAGAACATTCCTGTGTATCTTTGTGTCTTGATGCTCTGGAAGGACACTGGCTGAAAGAGGTTGACCCCTTTTAATAATTAGATTGCATCTGCTACTGCTAGCATGTCGACTCTTAGTTTATTGGCTGGCAAGACATAAGCACGGGTGGAATTTATAGAAAGGAACAATGTCAGTTCGTTTGATTCTAGCCGTGTGTACAGGGCCTCATTACAAATTATTCAGTCTTTCCACATGAGATATTTACTAACAACGGCAGATATAACCAGAAAAAATGTCTTAAATAACATGTACACTGTAAACAAAATCATCTTCGCGAACATATCAACCATTTTCCAAAGTATCCCCCTATATCTTGCTAAGTTTACATTACTAGCCATAAATCACAGGTATTGGAGACTCAACAAAAACAAAAACGTCAGCTGATTTTATAAGATGTTCGTGTAATTTGAGGCCACCTTGTATATGGTCAAGTAGAAACATGTATCAGCCAAAACAGTTGATGAAGACGATTGTGACATTATTTTATTAAGCATGGAAAGTGCCAGTTTGAATGATTGGTAAGACCTGCTGCTGATAGCCATGTGTGAAGCATGATAGCCTACATCGTCCAACCCTTACTTACTTAGTCACTCCTCTTCTACCTTGGAGTGTAGAGGTTTGCTACAGAGATCGCCAGACTTCTCTGTCAGCAGTTTTCTTTCTGGCCTTCTTTCCAGTCCTCTTTTGTCAGTTAGGGACTGTAGGATGTCTTCCCAGCGCACCCTGGGTCGTCATTGTCCACCCCACAGCATATTGTATTTCATGAAACACACTATATGTTGTTAGTTTATATAGTCTATGGTTATGTTGTTGCAGGTCGTGGTGGAACCAAGATCCGAGAGCTGGAACAGACCTGCCGTGCTCGAATTAAAGTGAGTATTGAACTGTTGTTTTTTTAAATGACATAATCTCTAGGTGTGGTTCCATGACATTTGTCATCCCATGCAGAGACAAACAAGAGAACCATATAGCACAGACTTTTCTTCACGTTTACAAGCTGTGCACTCTGGTGAAAAGGTGTGGTCCAGAACCTGAGTGTTGCATGTGCATCAATTTTACACATCTGATTAACTTAAATGCAGACTGTTGGTTCCTTGCCTCAGGCAGATGCACTCCGACTTCAACAAAGAAAGCTCCCTAATAAGTCGACTCTTACGACATGCTTTTCGGTAGGCAGAGGGTCTATTCTTTTTTCCCACGATGGGGCCCCAAAACCCACACAGGGAATAAACTTATCATTTTAGATGTTTAATAAAATTGAAAGTATAATAAAAATTTTGAATATATTTAAAATTTTGTTAAAACTAGTTCTAAAAAGTCTTATATTGTTAAAATTGATTTTAACAACCATTTGTATTTTTTGACAGATTTCACGAGATGCAGATGAGGATGGCATGAAGTGTGTGGAAATCTGTGGCTCGGACAGTGAGATTGAGAAAGCCAAACGGATGATTGAAGAGTGTCTTGCCGAAGGTTGGAAACCATTTTTGTGGAATCCTCTGAGGTTGGCAGAATCATTGGTGAGTAAAAAAAAAAGTCTCAACATTATCTAAGAATTATCCTCTTTTATGACATTTATCTGGTGGGCTAAGTTGAGGGATTAGATCACTTAACCGTACAGTATATCGTTGGACAGCCTTTCAAAGAATCTCAATGGAAGACTTAGTGAAAAAAAAGTATATAGTAATCAAATACCTCTTTGGCTACTGCAGCTAAGGGGTGTTCTTGCCTGTTTATTCAGTTTCCCATCTGTAACGGCCACAACTGTGTCTCAACATAATGAAGCCATGGACATTAGTTAAAAACCCACCACAAAACCACACATGTTGCTAAAACAAAGTATCTACATGTTTAATATATGTATATATAAATATATAGGAAGGGGGGTCGTCAGTAAACAAGAGTGTGAAGCTGAAACTTCTGGTTGTCCATTTTTTTGTGGTTTGCACATCCATTGATCTGGCTCATGTGTATGTAGAAACTTGTGTGCTGTATTTTGTCTAGTTCTGTCATTAAGTAAGCAGAAGAATAAATATACTTTCCTGCTCACATTCACAAATGATGTCCTTTAATTATATTATCGGTCGGAAAGTCAGGTAGAAAACCTGGCCTTTTTTTTTTTTTTATGGCATATTTGGGGGTTGTTGCTTCAAGTCTGCTGCAGCGTAGTAAACAATTCCACGTTCATTTTAAAAATGTCCTCCCGAAATCCGTCAGGTCATTGGGTAAGAATGGAAAATTTAGTTGTCATAACAGCAAAGTTGCAACTTAATGAAATAGTTGTCATAACAGCAAAGTTGTCTTTTGTGTTGACAGGTCGTGGGGGCAGCAGAATCCGAGACATGGAAGCTGACAGTGGCTGCAGGATAAAGGTGAGTTAGCCTTCTGTGGTTCTCTTTACACCGCCAATCGTAAACTCCTTCAGAAAGTTCTGTTTTGCAAACATTTCCATTTAGCTGATGTCATATTTGTGTGCAGATTGTTTGAAAATATGAAACTGGCTTGAGGGATGACTTGTTGCACGCGGTAATGCCACCAGTGGGTCATGATCTGTAGTGCCTGTCTGTCGCAGGTGTGGACTTGCCTACCCATCTTTTAGCTTGACACTGAGAGGTGTGACTTCAACCTGTCTGCTGCAGGTGTGGACTTGCCTACCCATCTTTTAGCTTGACACTGAGAGGTGTGACTTTAACCTGTCTGTCGCAGGTGTGGACTTGCCTACCCATCTTTTAGCTTGACACTGAGAGGTGTGACTTCAACCTGTCTGCTGCAGGTGTGGACTTGCCTACCCATCTTTTAGCTTGACACTGAGAGGTGTGACTTCAACCTGTCTGTCGCAGGTGTGCACTTGCCTACCCATCTTTTAGCTTGACACTGAGAGGTGTGACTTCACTGTCCTGCTGCAGGTGTGGACTTCACCCATCTTTCAGCTTGACACTGAGAGGTCTTCAACCTGTCTGTCGCAGGTGTGGACTTGCCTACCCATCTTTTAGCTTGACACTGAGAGGTGTGACTTCAACCTGTCTGTCGCAGGTGTGGACTTGCCTACCCATCTTTTAGCTTGACACTGAGAGGTGTGACTTCAACCTGTCTGTCGCAGGTGTGCACTTGCCTACCCATCTTTTAGCTTGACACTGAGAGGTGTGACTTCAACCTGTCTGTCGCAGGTGTGGACTTGCCCCATACCACATCTTTTCTGCTTGGACACCCATGAGAGAGGTGTGACTTCAACCTGTCTGTCGCAGGTGTGCACTTGCCTACCCATCTTTCAGCTTGACACTGAGAGGTGTGACTTCAACCTGTCTGTCGCAGGTGTGGACTTGCCTACCCATCTTTTAGCTTGACACTGAGAGGTGTGACTTCAACCTGTCTGCTGCAGGTGTGGACTTGCCTACCCATCTTTTAGCTTGACACTGAGAGGTGTGACTTCAACCTGTCTGTCGCAGGTGTGCACTTGCCTACCCATCTTTTAGCTTGACACTGAGAGGTGTGACTTCAACCTGTCTGTCGCAGGTGTGGACTTGCCTACCCATCTTTCAGCTTGACACTGAGAGGTGTGACTTCAACCTGTCTGCTGCAGGTGTGGACTTGCCTACCCATCTTTCAGCTTGACACTGAGAGGTGTGACTTCAACCTGTCTGTCGCAGGTGTGCACTTGCCTACCCATCTTTTAGCTTGACACTGAGAGGTGTGACTTCAACCTGTCTGTCGCAGGTGTGGACTTGCCTACCCATCTTTTAGCTTGACACTGAGAGGTGTGACTTCAACCTGTCTGTCGCAGGTGTGGACTTGCCTACCCATCTTTTAGCTTGACACTGAGAGGTGTGACTTCAACCTGTCTGCTGCAGGTGTGGACTTGCCTACCCATCTTTTAGCTTGACACTGAGAGGTGTGACTTCAACCTGTCTGTCGCAGGTGTGCACTTGCCTACCCATCTTTCAGCTTGACACTGAGAGGTGTGACTTCAACCTGTCTGTCGCAGGTGTGGACTTGCCTACCCATCTTTTAGCTTGACACTAAGAGGTGTGACTTCAACCTGTCTGCTGCAGGTGTGGACTTGCCTACCCATCTTTCAGCTTGACACTGAGAGGTGTGACTTCAACCTGTCTGTCGCAGGTGTGGACTTGCCTACCCATCTTTTAGCTTGACACTGAGAGGTGTGACTTCAACCTGTCTGTCGCAGGTGTGGACTTGCCTACCCATCTTTCAGCTTGACACTGAGAGGTGTGACTTCAACCTGTCTGTCGCAGGTGTGCACTTGCCTACCCATCTTTTAGCTTGACACTGAGAGGTGTGACTTCAACCTGTCTGTCGCAGGTGTGCACTTGCCTACCAATCTTTAAGCCTATTGCCTTACAGCTTGTTTAATGGAAACCAGAGCAGATCTAGTTGTATTTTGCTGCGCAACAATACACACAGGTGTCTGATCCTATTACTCAGAGGCTAGGGAAAATGTCTACATAATGGAAATCCCAGTCTTTCCTCTGGACTCTAGCACCCGAGGCTGACACTACGCCTCGAGAACACTCTGTTTAGTACATGGAGTGTTGTATGTGCAGTCTGTTGGTTCCTCATCTCAGGCAGGTGTACTTTGACAAGTTAGCCCTGTCTAGAATTGTTCTGTATGGGCACTTTATATTTTGTGACTATAATATAAAGCCCAACATGTGCTTTGTTCTGCAGTTGCCTGAAGTCTTTCCTGGCTGTTTTGCCTTGTGGGCTTCACATTTGCTATGGTTTACCTCGGCCCTGGAAACTGCACCCATCTCTCCAGTCTATTCTGGCGCTTGGCATTTCTAAAAATACTTTTTTGAGGAAGGATGCTCGTTATGAGCTAGTTCTCCTGGATGTGCAAGTCATGCAAGATGTTGTCCTTGTTCTAGCTCAAGTGTTTGTACATTCATCGGAGTAGTGTTTAATTAAAATACAATGGCCCACTATGACTTTTGTGTGTGTGTGCAGTAGTACAGTATTTTCTGAATATTTAATATAATGCAACATCTATTCTGCAGGTGTCTCGAGATGGGGACTCACGAGGACGCAGCTCTGTAGAGCTCTCGGGCAGCAAGGGTGCCATCACAGAAGCCAAGAGACTTATTCAAGAAGCTGGAGTGGAGATCGTCAACGGAGATGACCGTGGACGTGGGTGGTGATTCCCTCAGCCAGCAGAAAATTGTAGCTCTCCGAGACTTCAGTTTTCACCTGCCATATTCGTTTTTTTGGGTCCGTTTCAGCTCCTCGTAATCATTTCATACGTCATTTTTAAACTCATGTTTTCCCTTGTGTTGCTGCCGAAAATTCAAGCATATATTTCCGATGATTCTGTTTCTGGTCATGATTTTAGAGAAATTGTTTTTGCCGAGATCTAAGTCAATGCTGTTGTCACTTATTTCAGTCACAAAATTGCATTTTGCCAGTATTTTGGCACAAAGCATTTATTTTGAGTACATCCCCCCGAATATGCATACCGAGCCCAGTTGGTCAAGCACACATGCCAAGTTGGATTCTACTTTGGACTGGCCTGTGCTGAAACGTTTGCAGAACTCATTGGTCTTGATGTTAATGGTGCTCTGTTTCCTGTACCACAGACATTGTGTGGTGTGTAAAATGGTTATGTTACTGTATCGAGGTAACATCAATGTACGAACTATGTCATACCCGTTGTGTTTTAGCGATTCCTCAATGGGTGTATGGAGGAATGTTAGGTTAGCCTTTGATACAATCATTAAAGAGTAGGCTCTGCCCGGCCTGTGCCTGGCAACACAAACATAGCTAATAACGTGAACAAGGAAAGATGAACACGTTACAGAAGGTATTTTGTACAGTTGTATTGCTTGGAATTTTATGACATGCGCTCGCCGAATAAACTGAGATAGTGTCATCATTTGCTTCCTGTTTTGTTGTTGTAAACGTTTAGTAAACTGAAAGATGTCCAAGGATATAGACATGTAGGTGTTCAGGCATGAGCAGACTGATTGACTGGTCAAAATGCTCAGCCTATAATGCCTCGCTGAATGGTAGGAAGTATGCTAACACTAGAGGAAGAGAGCATTATAATGTTTTTGAACAGACTGCAATCTGATTTCAAGTTTGTCAGTTTGCTGCTCTACAAGTGTTATGTATATAAAAAGATGTCAAGCTGGAACAGAACAAGTCGTTCTACCTGCTTATTTACCACCACAGTGGTACATCTGAAAAAAATATCCAAATGACCTAGTACCGCTAAGGTGATGCTTTTCACTCTAGAACATACCGGTCAATTAGCTGTTTGTAATCTTTGTTTACCAGCTGTAGACTATAGCGGACAAAGTTCTGGTTGCTCATCCACTGCAGCCCTGTTCCTGAATGTTGCTTGTGCATCCATTTTACAGATCTAATTTGTATGTAGACGGTTCCTTGCCCCTCAGGCAGATGCACGGTGACACTGAAGGAAGCTTCCAAAATTGACTAGTGGCATGCTTTCGGGTGGGCAAAGGGTCTAGTCTTGTGTTACCCTACATTAGGGCCCCAGAACCAACACGGGAAGGAGTCAATAATTACATGTTTATAGCTAGAGACTGCAGTGACTGGCTCTGTTTTTCAGCGAGATGTGTTGGTACATGCAGGGCTTTATACTAAGCCACATCTGTGGCTTTGAAAACCTTCTTGCAGTGTATCCAGTTTTCCATTTGTATAATCATAACTGCAGGGATTGCCTTGAATCAGTAGTTAGATGTGTGATACTGCTATACCCCGTGTCCAGTCCCTGCACCCAAAGATTAGTATATATTGATTTGTGCACCTAGAACAATATAAATTTCTAACAATACACACGGGCGTCTGATTGTACTGCTACCGAGAGACCAGGGACGATTACTAGTTCACTTGAAAAAATGCCAGCCTTCACCAGATCGACTCGACGTGAACGCCATGCCCCGGGACCACTCAGTCCCGCCCCTAGAGTAGCAGATAAGAAACATCCTATATGTTTGTACTGACCACATTGCTTCTGTAATCTTTAACATTGTCAAGGTGTCCTGGGAGGTGAAGGGCAGTCTGACAAGTCCTGGAAGGTCTCGGGCATGTCCTGGAAGGTCAAGGGCAGGTCCTGGAAGGTCAAGGGCAGCCATAAGCATGTACAAGGTCCTGGGATGTTAAAGCGGCTCCAGATAGGTTATGAGTTTGGGTTAGGTTATCTTTACAGCACTACGGACACATCCATAGGTGCTCAAATTCCGCTCTCAACATATTCATCAGCGTCGTGTGGTTATTAGTGCCAGTACTATGTTGGTTAACAAGACTTCGTGTGCTTCTCATGCTTGGCTGTGCCGATCTTTACTCCCAACTCTCGTATTATTAGCAGTTGCTTCCAAAGTACTCAGAACGTCCTATCTCTCTAAGGGCAATGTCTGCGTGATCCATGGGCCGGACATCTTCATTTAAGGCAGCACCTGCCAGTTTTTCAGCTCTTTCATTACCAAAACACGCCGGGGACGAATATGAAGGTAGCTGCAAAAACAGGAGAGTTCTGCAATGACAGGATAACTAAACCTGGCAGGTAAAAAATGTGTAAGATCGGCTGGGGGGGAGGGGGGGGGGGGGGTTGCGATTCATTGCTAGATAGGCAGCATGTACATATTCTTTAATATAATCTACCGTCACTTAGGGCGGCCTCTTGCTTCGTCACTTAGGGCGGCCTCTTGCTTTCACATCAGATCTTTTCATATGTAGTGCCTACAGTCTTTGTTCTGGCTGAATTTTGACTGCGTGACCAAACCGTTTGCTCTTCTGTTTCTCAGTTAAATTGCTGCACGCTGTTTTCACAGTCTGGCTATAGGTTAACCATAATGGCGCTGGTAACACTATGAATATACTGTTTATAATCTGGTGCTCATACTTATGCTTGGATGTCCTAATAACAGTTTCATTTAGCATCTTATTTCTGTGTTCCTATTTATTCTCCTTGTCCTGCGAGAAAATGTCTCAAAGGGTCCTCCAAGGCTTTTTTTTTTTAAAACACTGCACCAGATGTCGGACACAAGTTGCCAGTACTCACCCTCAAAGATCTATTACAACAGCGCTGGAAACGGTGATTCCTGTTTTCTCTTTTTATATCCTAGGGGTTCATAGCGAACCATCAGAAAATATAATCAGTGACATGTAGATGCCATGTAATCAGCAATATAATCAGTGACATGTAGGTGCCATGTAATCAGCAATATAATCAGTGACATGTAGGTGCCATGTAATCAGCAATATAATCAGTGACATGTAGGTGCCATGTAATCAGCAATATAATCAGTGACATGTACGGGCCATGTAATCAGCAATATAATCAGTGACATGTAGGTGCCATGTAATCAGCAATATAATCAGTGACATGTAGGTGCCATGTAATCAGCAATATAATCAGTGACATGTACGGGCCATGTAATCAACAATATAATCGGTGCCATGTAATCAGCAATATAATCAGTGACATGTAGGTGCCATGTAATCAGCAATATAATCAGTGACATGTACGGGCCATGTAATCAGCAATATAATCAATGACATGTACGTGCCATGTAATCAGCAATATAATCAGTGACATGTACGGGCCATGTAATCAGCAATATAATCAGTGAGATGTAGGTGCCATGTAATCAGCAATATAATCAGTGACATGTAGGTGCCATGTAATCAACAATATAATCAGTGCCATGTAATCAGCAATATAATCATAGAAACATACCCTATAATCAACCATATTTACGTACCCTATAAACAACAATATTAAGTACCCTATAATCATAGAAACGTACCCTATAATCAACAATAATAACGTACCCTATAATCAACAATATTAACGTACCCATCATCAACAAAATAAAGGTACCCTATTTTCATTAGTAAAAACGTACAAATAATCATATGAATGTACTCTATAATCAAGAATATAAACGTACCCGATAATTAACAGTGTGAACGTTCCTTTTAATTAATAAACACATAGTATGCACTTCTTTGTAGAAAGGAACAAATAACTTGACTTTTATTTGAGGCTACACAATTGTGACGATATATCGAGGCGAGCAGTCGACCTTTTCACAATAAACTAATCTGGCCTCGATCCTCTGGTAACTTGTGTCGAGGTTAAGTATCTTTTACATGAAATGGTGGCAGATATGTGACTGTGCTATCACAGTTTAACCATGTATAGTTAACTATATAATACAACGTAACCATATAGCACAGTGGAACCATGTATAGTTGGGCTATATAGCACAATGGAACCACGTATGGTTGGGCTATATAGCACAATGGAACCATGTATAGTTGGGCTATATAGCACAACGGAACCATGTATAGTTGGGCTAGCACAGTGGAACCATGTATATTTAGCTATATAGCACAGTGAAACCATGTATAGTTGGCTATACAGCACAATGGAACCATGTATAGTTGGGCTATACAGCACAGTGGAACCATGTATAGTTGGGCTATACAGCACAGTGGAACCATGTAAAGTTGGCTATATCACACAGTGGAACCATGTATAGTTGGCTATACAGCACAGTGGAACCATGTATAGTTGGGCTATACAGCACAGTGGAACCATGTAAAGTTGGCTATATCACACAGTGGATGGCATTCGCTGGCTGTAAACTCCAGCGGAAAGCTCTGGTTGTTCGTCCACCTCTGGACTTAAGTCTTGAACCACTACTTGAGGTTTAAGTGCACATCTGTTTTACAGATCTGGCTTATTTAAACACAGACTATTGGTTCTTTGCCTTAGGCAGATGCACTACGACTTCGAAGAAAATCCCTAATTAGTCGAGTCTTACGACATGCTTGGCAGAGAGGCAATTGGTGGTACGCACACGGGGAGGTCTGATCATGCATATTTGAATGACGCCAATCACTTATATTTGAATCCTCAAAGCAGGATGTTTGTCGCACCGGAAGTGACCTTTCCACACACAGGAAGCTCCGTCCGGTCAGTGGTCAGGATATCAACTGATCCGTGATCTTGTTGCGTGCCCGACAGCCTGGATCAGTTTGCCTTCATTTGTACATTTATCATTTCACCTGAACCAAACTGTTTTGTGTTGTTGTTGTAAGTTCTGGGAATCAATGTTGTCATTTTATGTCTACATTGTCACACTATATCTGTCTTCAGTGTCATGTTCTG